ATATAAAAATAACCAGAGGCAGAAGACACTTTTATTTGGTGTCAGGCCATGTACTTTTCTCTTGGCGTTAACTGACAGCAGTCAGTTATTCCCAGGATTGCATCACCCTGACTTGCACTAGAAAACGTTCAGAAATAAGTGAAAAAATCTGGGAAGCCCACCACCAAGGGAGGGCAAGTTGCTACTCTCCCAGGTTGAGGCGCGTCTACTGTGAGCTAACTGGTCAGCAGCTTCTTAGGCGTAAATTATTCACTTTGGGAAAGGCAAGCATTTTAGGGAGCATACGGATTCCTCAAATGCAATTTAGGAGATCAAATTTCAATACTTTCAATGCTCTTCACTGTACTCAACTTTAAACTGTACATAGTTCTCAGACTAGTCCTAAAAGATGGTGAAATTCCGTGGTTTTTTAAATGTGTAAAGCAGAAATCTAGGCCTTTCAGAAAGCTTCAGATCGCAACTATGGTTTGGGACAGAAGGAAAGAAATAGGGTAAGGAGAGGCTAGCCTCTGGGCCTGTCACTGCTGACTTTGGTCAGAGAAACGCTCCTTGCATTATATATTGCCTCCATGTATGATTTTTCAATTTGGAAGGAACATTCTACTTTTTAAAGGAATTTTATCACTGGATATCACTCATCCAATAAACATTTTTTTGAGCATCAATGATGTTCCAGGTGCTATGCCAGCTATGGAAGTTACAAAGATGAGTAAGTCATCTTTCCGTGGACATAGGTGCTATTCACATGTATAAGGACAGTGCCATAGTGGAAGTGGAAGACATTTGTTTAGGGAAGTCATTTCCCAAATGAGAAAAGTGGGACCCTGATAGTTTAAGTGACTCATGCAAAGTGACATAGGAAGTAGTGCAGTCACTAACCCCTAGTGCCAACTATTTATACAGATGCTCCCTGTTCTAGCCCGTGTTGCTTCCAAAATGAATGGGATCCACATACCAAAACTCACTCTTTACATTCTTTTAAGTCCCGAGACTCCAATGTTTCATTGACATGATGTATGCCTCAACCACTTGTGTATCTCCAATGTCTAGTACAAGGCGGGGCATTAATGGGCACCCAACAAATGTTTTGAGGTTTTTGTGGTTTTGTTTTTGGACATTGAGAGGAAGTGAGCAGAGGAAAATTGCTTTGAAGGTAGTTACCTAAATCAATACATACCCAGGTTGATGAAGATGAGAACTAGCTAAGATATTGAAGGATCTGAGTAATCTACACGACCGAGAAAAAAGAGGGACACTATCCTCACAATGCCATCCTCAAGTGTTTTGGCAAACATATGCTTCTGTTGAATTTTACACTATAACAAGAACTGCGTGAACACGCAGAAATTTTATGTGGCCATGAGAGAAAGTGCTTTCTCTCACAGACTTACATTTTCTGTGGATGAACAGCATTTTTCATTTTGGTAGGTTCCCGCACTTTGATTTCAGCATCCCACAGGATTGTAAAACACATTAACATTTTTATATTGGAGTGAACATATTTTTGGCTCAGAAAGTATTCATTTTGGTTCAATTCACAGTTGAATAGAAAGGCATATGAACTTTATTTAACTTCCTTTAAAGAATATAGCCACGGATTACTTGGATACTGGTATATAGTCCAGTTTGGGGAAAATGTAATTTATTGCTTATCAGGATTTTAACTTTATAAAATCACTGTGTTCTATCGATTTAGCCGAGGTCTGGTCATATAATAAAAACTGACCTAAATTTGACAATGTTCTCCTGAGAAAAATAAAGTATAATTTAAATATTAAAGTCATTAACCCCAATATTTTTAAAAGATAAAACAGACATAATACTAGGTTACTGGATTTGATTTTTTTTCAGCTTTTAACATATTTGCAAGTTTTGAATGAAACCATAACTCCTTTAAAAATACAAGTAATTCATGTCCAATTAATCACGTAAGTTTCCCTCTAGATTACTTTCAGACAGGTCACATTCCTAGGACATTAATTTAAGCTTTCACTGATTCTGTGAGTAGAATGAGTGCCTAATGTGAGATTTTGTAAAACAATAGCTAAGCAAATGTGACCTTCCCCCACTATAATGAAACGATAATTTTATATTAATAGAGATAATATTATGGTTATTTCTATTTATATAGTAGCAAAACTTATTTTTAAAAATATATTATATATACCCAATTAAACCCAGAGAAGACTTTATGTTTTTCTAATTTTATTTAAATCTAGCCAATATTTCCCCTTACATTTTAATTGTTTCTTTTTTCAGGGAGCTGTTGTATTTGCAATGAGATAGATTGGTGAACCTGACCAGTTTTGGAGAATTCCTTCACCAACTGAGACCATCCTTCTATTTCTCAAAAACATCTCCTAAACCTCAGGGGACATATGGGGCCTGGCGAACATTCCAGTGATTTGGTTTTAGTCAGGGCTAAATAATATAGATGAATGAGCTATGGAGCTATGCTTAGATTAAGCAAAGCACAACTAAAAATTCTCAGATTGAGGCTGGTACAATGTTCAGTGACAATGTGTCAATTGTCTGGTTAATTCGATCCACACAGACAGTGCCAGGGGATATTTCAGGCTCTAAAGATGAAAGCAAAAAGGAACTCTGTTATTCTGCTCTGCACTTTTCATGATTTCTTGTCTTATTCTTTGTTGTGGTTTTCCTGCAGATAATATATGTTTAACGGCAAACCTTAAATTACAAATGGGACTGTGAACACCTATTGGAATGGCTTTATGTTTATGAACAAAATTGGAGAGAAACAACCAAAAAATGGTTGCTTGTCACGAAGGAGTAAAACACTTATTTCTCATGACGAATGATTGGCACTTTGTTCTGACCGCCCATGGCAGAAACCCTGAGAGGAACCCCACCCTACTTCCTAATCTACGTTATTTTTCAGCCACTGAGCTTGGTTTGTGTATATTTACTTTGAGTGGATCAAAGGCCTCTTAGCAAAACTAATGAAGCCATGTTGCTCTAAAACGGGTAACTTGCAAGCTAAGTTCACCTCCCTAAAAAAATTATACGTTTTCCTAAAGAAAAGAAAAAGATGTTTGTTGCTTAGGTACTTGATAGAAAAGAAATAGAACAAGCATATACATCTTAAAAAAAAAAGTTTGGAAAAAAAAGTCCAGAAATCTTTAATCCTTTAATCAGAGAGTTCAATTCCTGCGCCTTAGGTTTAATTAAAGTGTGATTTCAGGGGCTGGGCTCATTGTTGAGCTCCAACCACCCTAAATTTAGTCCAATTTGATTTGGAGTTCCTACACTCATCCTCTGAAAGACCTGAGAGGGAAGAGTGTTTTGTAATGACAGCTTGTCTCAGTCAGAGTTGTGAAATTTTTGAGGGACCATCTATTACATAGACAGAGGTATCTCAAGTTCACAAGATAATGGGAAGTTAACTCATGGTCAAGATCTAGGGCCAAGGTTGCAAACTCAAACACTGTATCTACTGGGGCCAAAAGTTCTCTTTTCTTAAGAGATGTCAAAAATCTATATTTTTATAAGAAATAACCTGACATTAAGGCATAAATCCATTTTGTTTTAATTTTATACAGATCTGGGAGCTGGATTTGGCTTGTGGTTACCAGTTTGCTAACCATGGTCTGAGGTTTAGATAAAAAAAAATATATATGTAATATTTTATATATGCATTATATATAGTATTATATGTACATGGTATGCTCAGAAGGCAAATGATGATCATGGTTACAAATATCATGTGCCAAGCACTCTGTAAACATTGCATTTGTCTTAAATTACCCTTATAATAGCCTTAATAGTTAGCTAGCATTCTTTGCCCATTTTATAAATGTGGGCATTAAGTGACACAGAGGTTAAGAAACTTGCCCAAGGTTGATAGTCTCTACTTTAACCATACTATGTGTACAATATCTGACCTAGAATCCAAAGTTACATGTGGTCATTTTTAAAAACTGTCTTCTACTCATTTTCCTTAGTAAATATTTACAGTTAGGGCCAATAATAACAATAATATTAATAACAATAATGGTAATTAATAATAATGTTGAATTAAGCTTATGTTTCATTTAATTGAGAAGAGCAGTATGGCTAGACTGAGTGTGGGTGGAAAAGATTTGGACTCCATTTTAGCTCTGCTTTTTCCTCTAGCTGTGTGCGTTAGGCAAATCTTTTCAGCTTTCTTCGCACCTTATTGCTTATTTCTCTGGCAAGTCAGTGAGGTGGGTCTTCTATCCCAACTCTGTGGGTGAGAAATTCAAGCTAAGAAGGACCAACATGAGTGCCTGGCTATGTAAGTCCTCAGTAAGTGGGAGCCGGCTGACTCCTACACGACCTGAAACAATCACTTGCCTCTGAAAGCAAAAGATCAGCCCCATTTTACGAACTATAGACATGATGAGGACCAAGGAAAATGTACACATGACAAGAGTCTCACAGAGTCATCTGCAGATATGGTGTCGAAAAGGTTCTCTTACTTCACAAATTCCATCAATACAAACATCCTTTTTATTTACATTGTTACCCATTAATTTTTCTTCGTTTCTTACCTCCACGAAAATGACAATCTACAAAATTTTGTAGGTATGCTTGTGGTTTGCTATGATTAAAACTTTGACACTCAAGCAAGTGCTCTGTCTACTATGTCACTCTACTATGTCACTCTGCTCTTTCTACTATGTTGACCTGTGTGGCGAATAGCTACAATGGGCTATCCAAATGACTGACACAGACAAACTAGAACCATGTAAGAAGTATTCTACTCAGAACAGCCATGTGTAACAGTGAAAGGTTGGCATCTAAATGTGAAGATCAATGCATTCACTTAAAGACCCATTGGATTCCTGCCCTTTTCCCCAAAATGGAGTTGCTTGCTGTCTTTTGCGCTTTGAGATTTAGCCTATTAGGAAACAAATGAGCTAGAAGGATTGGGGCGCTTTACACGAGCTCAAATTGGGGTCATCACTATACATTTAGCAGGAGGCATGGAAGCTGAAAGAACAGAAGGGGCTTACCTCAAAGACCAGTGTCTCATTCGTGGGTCCTGGTGCATACAGACGTTCTGGGCGGTTAAAGGTGCGCTGGTATTCAAACACAGTCCCTGCAAATGGGAACTCCCCAGGCCAGTCGATGCTCCAGCCCCCCGTTAGGTAATACTTTTGATGAAGGCTTCGGACTGCGAGGTAACTGGAGGAGATCTGCAGTTCCTGGATTTCAATGCTTCGGGCCCCCGCTGGAATGACGACCACTGGATAATATTCTAAGCGGGAAGAACACAACATTTCTGTTCTCCAAACCTTCCATCGAAGGTTTGACTAGAAATGCTCAGAGACCTGTAGTAGCCATTTTTGCAAAGCAAGGATTTGGAATCATTAACTAACATTCATTTCTAAGTGTTTGAAACAAAAATTATTTCCTGTTTCAAGTGGTAGGAAACACCAGCAGGAGAAACGTATGTGTCTTTCCCAAGCATGTGTGTGTAGAAAAAGATACTTTCTAAAGCCACAAAACTCAGGAATGCTTTGTATTTTCAATCTACCTAAAAGAAACTTAGAGCCATATATTCTCAGTAGTGATATTCAGAAAACGGGGCTCATATTTAATTTTACTCAAGATGTTTAGATAATTGCTTCAAATATTCATCTAACGCTGTGAGTGTGGATCATCAAGGTTTCATTGTAAGTGCTTTGTTTAAAAATGCATGTGGGGCAGATGGCAGCCTGATCAGCATATTAAAACTGCAAAGTAGAAAGGCATTTGTTTAACACATTTCTGAGATGTATGTATTGATAAAACTCCTCATACTAAAACACCATCTGTCTTCCCTCACTCTTGTAGAAGCGTCAAAAGCCATCCTCTTCCGTGTGTCAGGCGAGTCAGTAAAAGACTCAACCACGTTTAGCATGACTCAAACCTGTTCAGCAGCAAAGGGTGCGTCCCACCAGTGACAACAACAAAACAGCAGCATCTCTTACCATTTGCTTTATGCTGGTTGAGGTACAGGCCTTTATAAAACTTGCAAGTTGAATTATCACCCTTGCACACACCACATGCATCGGAAACTGCTTTAGAGCCAAGTTCATGATCACATCCTACTGGCTGTGACAAAAAGAAAAAAAGTGAGAAAAATAAAGGATCAGGGAAGCCAGTGGCTAAGAATAACCAAGAGGTCCAGGGTTTTCTGTATTTACAGAACATTAGGAAAGGGATTCAGCTTTATGGTTAAAAGCACAGTCTCAAGTCTGACTGATTAGAGGTTCAAATACTTCCTCTGCCATTACTGGATGCATGGCTAGGCAAGCTATATAACTTATCTAAGGCTTAGACTCTTCATCTGTAAAACTGGAATAAAAAGTCACCATTGCTACTAATGGCAGGTGAGCTTACTGGGGCCAGCTCTAGCACTGAGACATAAAAATGCTGGACAATACAGACACAGACACAGACACAGACACAGACACAGACACACACACACACACGCGCGCGCACGCACACACACACACACACACACAGTTAAAAGATAAAAAAGCTCACAATCAAATTAAAGGAGAAAGTAGACATCCCCCAAAACAGGAAAACTAACACATAAACAGTAGTACTATTTTAAAACACATTTGTGAGGTTCTAATCATGTAGTGAATGTATTTAGCAAACACTGGGTAAAAGTTTATTACCTATTACTTACATTCTTATTTAATTTTTACAGCTACTATGGAAGGTAGGATATGCCACTGCCATTCTATATGTGGGGAAATGGGATAAAAGAGAAACTAAAAAAAAATTGCATGAGGGTCATGCAGTAAGTAAGTGGGGAATTTGGAGATCAGCTCACATCAAATTTGAAAGTGTAGCCCTGTTACCCTTGTGCCACCTGCTTTTCTCCAGACAGAGAATCTCTTGCACCACTTATCACAGCGCGCATTTGATATGAGGAAACACAAACATGATCAGACACCCCAAAGCAGAAATGTTCTCTTACTTCACAAATCCCATCAACACAAACATCATTTTTGTTCGGGGAGCAGGGAGTTCCATCTTTCACCTTGCCGGACATGGCGAAAAAAAATTCAAAGTTCTCAGCCTTGCAGTACAGTCTACATCGATCTTCCTCTAGAAGCAAAGAGATCAAGATAGGGCATGGTCAAGAAGAAATCATAGGAAGATGACGTGACTACCAAAAGGATGAACTACACTTGTTTAGAATGCTAGCATGATCACAACAGAACATGTCATGCAGCTTTGTGTGGGTGTGTGACTGTGCATGAGTGCATATGTATGTGGCTTTTAAAAATACAAATACCACTTAGCAATCTACATAAAACTGATTTAACATTAATACATAAGGATCTTATTTTTCAAATCAGTAAAAATTTGAGGCTTCATGGGCCCTATGGTCTGCCACTGACAATATATAAATGAAGGTGTGTCTAAAGTTCCAATAAAACTTTATTTAAAAAAAACAACAGGTCATATTTGGCCCATGGGCCATAGTTTCCTGACCAGTGATTTAGGACATGGATTACTTTAGATATTTATTCAATCTGTTAAGAGGAAAAGATTGGGGCATTTCAGAAAAAAAGCATATAGTCAATGTTTGTAAACCACATAGAGAATAATCATATTATGAAAAGGATAATGAAGCACATAAACTGAACCTAAAGGCAAAACAAACAAAAAATGTAACTTTTATTGACCATTAAGTTTCTGAGAAGTTTCTAGTATCACAGGCAAAAAGAAAAATGTATTATATTTATAGAGTTCTTGTTATGAGAAAGAAGTTAGTATGCTAATTTCTCAACGAGAAAGAGTTCTTCCAGGCCAGGAACTCCAGATGACATTTGTCACATGAGACCTGACGTAGGCAACTCTGTGTGATATCCCTGACAGCAGTCTTACAGCAAATGGTAGACAGTTTGCAGAGAGCTTTGCTTCATGAAACCTCTCAAAAAAAGCCAAAACCAAAAATGACAAGTTCAATTATTATATTCCAAATATGCACATGTGTGGAAAGATTAAATTTTTTTCTCTCACCTAGGAATTTTTAATATTTTTAAATAGCTTTATTTCACACCTGCTAAAGTTTGCATATGAGTTTAGAGAGCTGGAAGACATATATGCCATCTCTTTTCTCTATCATTTCCAGGAATTAACAAGTGCTTGAAAATTCCGTTTTTCTAGTACAGGTTCCTGGGCAAGTTATGAACTAGTCCATTAGAAACAGGAGGGAAACAGCTCACTATTGTAAGACAATGACGGTTTATGTTTATGAATGTCATCTCTTGTTCTTTTCAAACTGAATGAAAGTCACAGGACCTTCAAACCATGGTGAGTCTTTTATGATTCTATCCAAGCATCAAAAGGAGAAAAGGGAGGGATGGGGAGGCTTTCATTTTTCTGTCTCCCTCCACTAGGATGTGAGACCTTAAGACTGGGGTCTCTGTTTTTATCAATGTAGTTCCCATGTCTCTCATGCAATTCATCTCAGTAAACATCCGTTGAGTGAATCAATGAAAGGCATGATCCCTACTTAGTCAAAATGCCAACAGAATTAGTGAAACAACTTTGAAACCAAAAAACATTGTATAAGTCACAAAACTGGCGTGCTCAACTTTCTCCTTATGTATTCCACACAGAACCTGTACAAAGGATGATAACACTCTATTAACAGATTCCATAAACAGTATATTTAAATAAAAGATGTAATGTGGGAAAGGTCAAAGACTATCTAAGAAGACAAAACAAAGAACAGAAGGGGAAGTGGAAGAAAGGGCAGCAGAGTCCTGGAGAAAAGAACCATGGATAAGAAACATGGAATTATGGGAGAATACAACCAAGAGAAAAGAAATCTTCAGAACCGAAAGCAACTATAGCTATTCTACCAAACTGTCCACTGGAACCTGTTGTATGGTACTGTTCCTAGGTCATTACTCAGTTCCAGAAAGGATGCCTCTAGCGATAAAAGGGACACTTCCATTATGGACAGTTGATATTTATTCATTCATTCTAAAAGCTATAAATATGTGCTAAGTGCTGTCCTTAGATGTTTGCAATACAAGCATATGAAAGATCGACAAAGGCTTCATCTCTGTGGAACCTCAATTCTTGTGGAGATAAAGGTAATAAATAAATGACTATATAATATAACTTCATGTGCTGATAAGAGCTATGAAGAAGAATAAAGCAGGCTAAGGGGTCAAGGAATGCTGGAAAGGAGGTCTCTCTGGGAAGGAGCTATGGCTAGGGAGTTCTTAACCCTTGAATTAATTGTGTTCACTGAAGCCATTTCAAATAAATATAAATCCCCTTCTAATCAAGAGCTCTTCTAATTTTTGACAGTAACTAATTTCTTCTCTATAGGAAATATCTATATGATCCCTCACTTCCTGTTAAGAAGATTTCAGAATTTTCTTGTCTATCTGTGTTTTGGACACTCGTGACTCAGAAATAGATTGATGCTTCTGCAACGGCTGGTCTCGTGTTGAGCAAAGTTGCACTATTGTCTTCTTTAATTTGGAGGTACCCCTTGTTATACTGATGTCTCTAATTTCATTAGATCCTCGGATAACAAAGGTTCATTTTGAGCTTTTGCACAAGGATAGCCCTCAATCTTATTTCCATGAATTGTCATTAAATTTAGCCTCTTTCCATTTTACCCCATGTGCAGTTGGGACTCATATTCATCCTTTTTCAAGGGAGCATGGATCGAGTTTTCATCCAGCCAGTGAATGGAAATAATGGAAGGGACACAACTGGAACAGTGACAGCTTATTCTGCACAGGTAATAGAAAGTATATTAAATTTGCATATTGTAACTAAAATAAATGTCTTGACACTTAACCGAAACAAAAACAAATTGAAAAGCAAAATACAAGCCATTACTTTAAGTTATAACCAGTACTAAGAACTTCGTATGGAGACATTTTTAATTCATGGGTGTGTGTGTGTCCACTTTGCGAATCTGCCTTCCCATGCCTGTAATCATCTAACGTGTCAGTTACCGAGTATGGTGTCTCTATGGGGCATATATGGTTTCATGAGTTTTTGGTCTGGATAATTCATACCAATTTCGATTAGCATCCCTGGGAGACTTAATTGCTGAAATGTCAAAGGTAAGTTTAGAAATATAAGTACATTCCAAACACATGAACACTTTGGCTTACAGATGTGGGAGACAAGGGGTGTCTTGTGAAAAAAAAAATGTGGAAAAATAAACAAAACCTATGGAAGTGAATTAAAAAATGGGCCAGGACGGGTCTGGGGAATGAAAGATAAAAACTGAAACTCTTACACACAGGCAGCAATTTCTTCTGTGTTATTCATTCACGTTACCGTCCACATAGAAACAATTATTTGAAGGTCATAGAGACCCAATTACCTTCCACTTTCGTATAGGGTTTCCACTGGTAGAACCATCCACGGAAAGGTTTGCTGTTGTATTCTGCACACTGCTGGGCTCGAAAGTCCAAGCTATTTTCATTACAAGGGTTAATATTGCACAGCTGATAAATACGGCTAGAACCTGGGCAGAACTTGCCACCGTACTGAGGCCTAAAAATAAAAGTAAAGAACTTAACACCAGCAATCAAAGGGCTCACTATTAGTCACAGGCAGTAATATGTAGAGGAACAATGCAGATGAACACTGTCACAGCAATACACAGTGTCTACAGGCTATTATGAGAACGGAAGTACGTAGTACGCAGCACACAACTTGCCACATCGCTTCTTGTATCCATGGCAGATATAACTAATCAATCAAAGATTTTTTTTTTGGCAGAACCTGACATGACCTCAAGATCTCTCTCAACACAGCCCTCAAGGTTGGCACTACCACTGCCCATCAATTGGAATTGGCATGTTAGATAAACCTTATTTGCCATCTCTGATTCATTTTTTACATTCTGGCCATTTTCTTGAAGACCGATGAAAGCATATTCTTGACACTGATCACCTCATGTAAGAAAATCTACAAATACACCTCCATGCTCTTATTAATGGGTGTGTGTGCTACACACACAAACACACGTACCGCCTATGTTGGCATCTAAGCTCCTCAAATGCGAATCCAACCTACTCTCCAGATTTTCCCCCACGTCTAAGCAGTTATCATCTTCCCCCAGTTTGCCTTGTACCTGCTGCTATGGAGACGGTCAGGACACTGGGAGAAAGAGCAGAAAGCCCCGGTTGCCATGTTTTCCCATCCAGCTTTGTCAGTCATTGAGCTGATATTTTGATGATTGCCTGACTCTTGTGCGTTTTACTCTAGTTGATTCTAAACTCCAACGCAAAATATTCCCTTGTTTTCATCTGCACAATCACTTTTTAACTGTGCAGGTGGCCTCCTCTTTTCCTGCCAAGCACGATGGGAAATGGATTGTGCGAGTCAGGAATCCCATTAGAACATAAATAATTATGATCTAATGGCAAGCTCTTTAAGATCTTGGTAGGCAGGCTGCAAAAACCAGAAAGGAAAATAAAGGAAAAAAGGAGCACGAACCACACTGAAAATTACCAATAACATCTCATCCAGCTTCCTCCAAGGCACAAAGCAATTGCAGCTTTTCATTCCCACTTTTTTTGTTGTTTTCTCCAAAGGCTAAAAAACCAACGATGGATCGTCTCACACCAAAAGCTCAATGCAAACATGTAACATGAAAGAAGGCTCCCGATTAATAAATTTATGTGATTAAAAAATCCTTGTCTCTTTAGGAAGCACAAGAATGCTATAAAACACCTCTGGATTTGCTTCAGCATATTTGATCAAATCCTCCTCTACCGGCATGCTACAATGGATTCAGCAGAGACGGGAAGCGTCGCGCTGCCAGAACGAGATTTTTCTGCTCTTTCAAAACATTCTGGAGTAACTACTTAAACATCCAGCAGTCATTGTGCTACATCCAATCCCCAAGGACTTCTTAAATCATTATCTAAAAAGCACTTAGAGAAACTTTTAAAGTGCCACCTGACAGCCTTTACTATGCCTGGTCATCTTTACAAGGCATATTTAGAACGCTCTCAGTTGTAAGACCCTCTGTCTGAGATTTTACCAATCACTCTCATTTAGATTATTTAAATTCAATAAGAGGACCACATGTGCTACCTTTTCAACTCAGAAACTATAACATGGAAAAGGCCTCAAAACTCGGAGAGCCAACCCCTCATTTTATAGAGGAAGTGAAAAACGGCTGATGGAGCTCACAGAAGTTGCTGAATAAAGGTCACACAGTTGGAAGAGAGCAGAGCTAAACCTCTTATCTCCTGGCCGGTCAGGATTCTTTTCCTACTTGGCTCTGCCTACACTTATCTGAGTGAAGCAATAGGACCCAGCATAGGAGAGGAAGAAACTAACGTGCCAGGGTCCGGGAGCCAGCCTTTTATCAGGCAGATCTGGATTTAAATATTCTCTGCCTCTTCCCTAAGATTCGCTTTAGGTGATTTTATTTAACCTCCTAATCTGTAAAAGTGGGTGCAATTTTGAAAATTCACTGAATTAATGTTTGTAAAGAATTTACGGCAGTCTATGGCACAGTTAACACAAATGAATTACAACTCTATAAAAATGCTTTTTACTTTTTGATGCCTGGCAAGAATTTAGACTTTTCCATTCAATCCTCAAGCACAGGATTGAACATGAGTGTTAGGGTAAATTAACAGAAAATTCTGCAATGACATCCCTCGGTATAGTAAGTTCCTTAAGATTAAAAACAAAAATATAAACAGTCAAAATGTCTATAGGCACATGATTTTGTCCTTACATTAGACTATTATAAAGTATACCCATAATTTGCTTCTGCATAATTTATCAAGTCCTCCCTATAAACTATTGACTGGCTGGCTGATGATTAGAATTACTTGAGGAACTTAGCAAAATTCTCCCTCTCCCTCTCCCTCTCCCTCTCCCTCTCCCTCTCCCGGGCCCCTCCACAGACATTCTCATTGAGAATATATGATGGGAAGATCCAGAAATAAGTGTTTTAAAGCCCAGTTGGTGATTCTGATAATCAGCCAAGCCTGGAAATCACTGGTTGGAAAAAAAAAAAAAGAGATCTGATTCAATTATTATTCTGGAGCTATGACTTCCAGTGACATATTCGTCTTTCTCAAATAGACTCACATTTTAGGAAAGTTCTAGAATGCCTTAGCACGTTTAATTTTCACTATTTTAATCTCACTATTTTCATAATCAGAGTTTATTGGAATTTCACTAGAATCTCTTAAGCATAATAATTGAATAGTCAGGGAACCAGGAAAAATGACCAGCTTGGTGACTCGGGCAACAGTTGCTGCTGTGAATGGGACCATCTGCACCCCTGATTACCCATTTGTAAAATAACTGGATGAGACAACAGGTTGCAACTCACATATAACCCGGATTATAATCTGATTGGGAGCAAATGCCTAGAGAAGCGTTAGCAGAAGGTTCCGCAGGGCTCGGTAGAAAATAGAGCTTTGATCAATTAAAAATATCTGCCACAGACACGGGAAAAAAAGGAAGGGTCACATGTGCCTGGTTAGTGGCCATGCCAGAACCAGGTCACCTTTAAACTCTCTAGAAGCTGAAAAGTTTGATGAATCCATGAACAGCCAGGAATAATTCATTTTTTTTATGCAACAAAAATATGTTCTGGGAAAACCATCATTGTGTGAAATAAAAAGCTCACACTGCTTTCACATGAAAAAAAATGAAAATGGTTATGCTGAGTGATGTGAACAGATGAAATGTTTAAACTGAAGGAGGAAAGAAATCAGAAACTTGAAATAGGGAGAAAGAAACAGTTTTACTACAACAAAGTGAAATGAGAACAGAGAACAACTAATTGTCTTGGGATAGCCGATCACTTACTTGTTGTATTTGCGACTTCCAAGTTGAATGAAAGCAAACAGGACCTTAATCTTGTTTAAAAATGATAAAACTGCACCAAGTGGAACTGCTTTAGTAATTAATTCTTCTATTAGGCATCTCTACAAGTGTAATATGCTATTTCCATAAATAATGCCCTGTTATAATGAGAGTTCTCAATCCCACAGATATGGGAGAGGTTTTAATTTAAATCTCAGGGGTGTTATTCATGCACTTTACCAGCAGAGCTATTAAATTAGGTAATCTATTTCTTTCTTGGGAAAACATCGAGATTGTAAAATGTTGCGATGTATGAAAACCAGATCCATGAAATATGCTGCAAAAATGAAAAGTAATATAATGAATTTTAACAATTCTGTCCAAGAGCTGGGCTACGGTTGAAGTAGAGGAGGGGGGTTTTAATAATCTGGTATAAATTGTAAATGTATCACAAACCTCCCTACAATTATACACAGTTACTGGGTCTGATTAGAGTAGTAAGTCTCAGCTGGGAATGACTGTGCCCCCTAGAAGACATTTGGCAATATCTGGAGACGTTTTTGGTTGTCACGACTTGGAGGCTTGGGGTGGTGGGGGAGTCATCCTACTGGCAGCTAGTGAGTCGAGACCCGGATGCTGCTAAACATCTGCCATGTTCAGGGCCAACCCCCACACCAAAAATCTTTTCCAGCTCAAAATGCCAGTCGTGCCAACGTGGAGAAATTCTACATTATGAGCCTGAGATATCCCAAAGAGCGCCTAAGAAACCATGGTTAATGTATCTCTCAACCTTCCCTTATATTTTGGAACAAATTGGCCTTTTGATCCAGCTCAGCCTGCTCATTCACATAAAGTATCATTTATCTCTAAAAATGTCCCTGGGCTCTAGATTCATTATTTAGTGTAGTTCTCTATCTACCAAACATTTATGCAATGTTTACAACATGCCAGGCACTTGTAAAAAGCCCTTTACACATGTTAACTCGATGAAGGTCCTATCCTTATGCCCTTATACAAATGAGAAGTCTAGAGAAGTCTAAGCTGTCTGTGGCCACTGAGCTAGGATGCGGTGGGCTAGGAGGCAAACCCAGGTTCTGGAATTAAGTCTGCATTCTTATCCTCCAAGCTAGGCTGCCCCTCAGGTCATGTTGTAAAATTAAATCCACTATTTCCCACTGTCCCATCGCATCCTCCTCACTCCACAGCCTTCTCCAAAGTCCAGTTTCATTATTAAGACCTCTTCCCACTGGTTCTGAGGGCTGGCCCTCTGTTACCCTGTGTTTCCGGTGAGTTTAAGATGAAAAGATAAAAACCACATGGACCTCAGAACCTTCTGTTGAGTGCTCACTGGATACGCCCTCAGTGTGTCAGACATTCTACAGATGCAATTTTTAATGCTCCCTAATCCTTCAGAGGCAGGTATTATCATCTCCATTCTATACATAAACCCAAGCTTAAAGTTCACGTGACCTTCCCAAAGCCACACAGTTCATACGTGGCAGACCAAAGATTTGGAGTCATGTCTTTCTATCTCCCAAACCTGGGCTCTTGCTGCATAACAGTGCCAATCAGGAAATATACACATGTTTCATGTAGGAATTAGAGCCGATAAAAGTAACAGCCAGGGCTGGCCAAGTAGCTCAGTTGGTTAAAAGCGCGAGCTCTGAGTACCAGGGTCGCCAGTTTGATTCCTACATGGGCCAGTGAGCTGCACCCCAGCTGAGCTGCTGCTGAGCTGCCAACAGATGGCAGGATGGCTCAGCTGGTGAGAGCACGTGCTTCTAACAACAAGGTTGCTGGTTTCACTCCCTCATAAGATGATGGGCTGTGTCCACCCGCAACTAAGATTGAACACAGCACCTTGAGTTGAGCTGCCAGGAGCTGCAGATGGGCGGCCAGATGGTGACTGGACTTGGAGCTGAGCTAGCTGCGCCCTCCACAACTAAGACTGAAGGACAACTTGGCTGTTCCCCTTCTCCAATTCCCCAATAAAAAAATCTTTAAAAAAAAAGTAACATCCAACCACCTTCTGTTGCACAGGGCACCAAGTGAAGTTCATTATCCCTGTACTAGACCAGAGGGTGCCCACAGGGGATCATGGGCCAACCGCAATCCATACATGTTTTGATGAATCCTCACAGTGATTTTTTTTTAAAGAAAATTGAATTTGTCATCAATATTTTAGAAATTGGGAAATTTCACACACAATCTTTTTTTAGATTTCTGGTTTCTCTTGAAAAGTCAGGCAGATCTGTCAACACGTGTTGATGTACATTCCTGCAAGGCAAAAATCAGCATACTTTCCCTAGCTCATCAGTTTGAGAGAGAAACACACACATGCTCCACCAGCCAAGCTTCTCTGTGCTACAGTATCACAAGCATTTGATTGTGAATGTGTAGCCCTAATTTAGATCCAGAAAGTAGCTCAGACCATCACTGGAGTCCTTGATCTCCACATTCACACACAGAATAGCTCCTCCGCCATTTTCCCCCCCAATTTCTGTCCCCTATACTCCCCCTACCCCCGCCACGTGCATACACATTTATATGCAAACCGTAAAACCCTAGCGGACTGCTATGAATGGAGGGAAGAAAAGTGCACTCGAAAACAGTGTGTAAGCGAAGCAAAACAGAGGCAGCGTGTGACAGGCTGAATGAAGGTTAGTGCCTTACAAATACTTTCTGCTGGAGCCTTACTTGGGGTTATTGCAGTGTCTCTCTTGATACCTGACTCCTCCACCACACGTCCGGGAGCACTCTGACCACTTGGACCAGGCAGACCACTGGCCGTGGACAGGCCGGGGCCCGTGCTCCCCAAACTTCACACACTGGCCTTGCCGACACCACTGTGAAAAGAACAGGTGACATGTTTCCTGTCAGAAACCACCTGGGAAAGAGCAAGGAGATACACACACCTGCACAGTAACAGGAAAAACGAGTCTGCTGTTCAAAAGGGGGGAACGCATGACACTTTGACAGAATTCCTTTGCTGGCCGCGCTTTATAAACACCCGCTTCGTCTGCGTTTACCGCGTGCCTTTGGGAGGCTGACGTCTAGAGAGCCGGGGCGTCTGTCACCGGCAGGCTGAGTATTATATGCTTTGTGAGCTGAGGAGGTGAAATGTTCAGATGTGATTCCACCCAACAGCTAGGGCAGTCGGCGCAGACAAAATGTCAACACAGCTCCCCGGACATTTAGGGACAACAGTGCTTAGAGCACGATTTGGATCATGCGCGCTTGGCCAACCAGTTTTTAAGGTATTAACACAGAATTCATTGTTCTACATGATTATCTCATCATAAAAACAGATACAATTATGCGTACACTTTTATCTCACACCGTCCTATAGAGCATTGAAAACTGAATAGCTTTCCGTCTACGCAAACTGTGCTTTTGTCTGTACAAAAGGTCCCTAACAAGACCCTCGGGTGACTGAACTTGGAGCGTCTTTTATGAATTAGCCCTGGGTCTTTCATTTGCCAAGCGATCTGCTCAAGCCAGGGTGAGAAGTGTTTTCTGCGCGGACCTTCCCGTTTTAGTGCTCCTTTGTGACACATTCCAGGCTTTGCTGGTCATCTCTGTCCTGGGGGCTTGCATTAGCCTCTGGTAGTGGTTTTGTTCCTGTGGCGCTTTTATTAGGAGCAAGTTCTGCATGACTTAGCATAACTGCACACTTTCCTGAAAGCCTCTGCAATTAGATCCAAAGGGTTGGGGTTTGGACCGTGCCAGAGTCGGCGGAGGAGTGGGGGTTCAGTTACCGAACTGTGGGGAGGTTGTTTGGCTTTCCAGTCTTCACTTATCCCCTGTGATGCACTTGGCTTTGTGGCTATATACTGTGTTGCTAGTGCAGTTGGTCTAGGACTCTATGTCTGGAGGTTGCTTCCTGTCCTCACATTCTTGCCGTGGACTGATTCATTCTGCTGCTTTTACTCTTTCTTTTCCTTGGTTTAATTGCCATTTCAGTTTGCGCAAAATCACATAACATTGTTGGGAATTTTGTGGGGGAAAGCAATCGGTCTTTGGAAGACTTTTGTCTTCCACGAACATGAATCTGACTCTTCCAGACCAGGAGTCCCTGGGACTCTCCCGGACAGAGCTCAGTGGCTGAGACAAAATTACAGCAACGATAGCCAACAGCCAATAATAACAACAACAGAAGCAGCTACAGTTTATTCAAGTTGCTTCTATGTACCCAAAATGGTGCAGGAACTGGGAAGAGACAGGACTTCACATGCAATGTCTAGTATAATTCTCACAAAGTGCTTAGAAGTTAATAGCTATTTTCTGGATGAGAGAAATTTTGAAAAGAAATACTAAGTTGCCCAGAGGCACACAGCTACTTAAGTAGCTACACAAGTGAGAGTGGATTTAAACTGAATACCCCAAGCTCCGAAACAGGACAAAAGTCTTGTCACCTCAGAGGCAAATGCCCACCAAGGTATATTACCTCTACCCTAGTTCTTTTCCTAGAAATGTGGTTTTTAGACCTGTTCTAACCTTTTGGTTATTTGACTTTTAAAATTTTATTTCAGTATTCATCCTAGTATTGGGTTAGGTTGCTGACAATTTCCTCTGGGTTTTTCAATCAGCGTAGGAATCAGGAATAGATAGGAATATACATACATATATGCACAAGCCACATGCATACATAAAATTCTACTTATAACATGTATATACACAGAGGGTGCCAAAAAAGTATACACATTTTAAGAAAGGAAAAAACTGTATTAAAATTGTAATACTCAAAGATACCAATAACAAAAGATGAATACAAGTCATGTGTATACTTTTTTCTTGGCACCCCCCGTATAAAACACATACACACATGACTTTAGCCATACATATACATTTCTAGCACTGCTTCTATATATCAATCTAATTTAAAATTGAGTGGCCATGACTTAGGCAAATATCTTTTATGAGAGACAGCAAGCACAAACCTTTCTTTCTTTGTACACATAATTTAGATAAAAAAGATGTGTTTTTTCACACCCTCACATGTTCACTGAATATTCATGGTCCAAATATCACTGAAGGACTAGGGAGGGACTGGAGATGGATGGGGAAGGATTCATTTGGTTTTCAGTTATGGAGAAACAAGCAAAACATGGACTAGCTGCTACCCTGCAAGGCATCAAGATAAAGGATGAGTAAGACATGACCCTGGCCTCGTGGAGTTTACAATCTAATAAATAGCCAATTATTATACATCCCCTAGTGAAAGGAGATTCAGAGAACCATACATATTAATGAGGAATAATTATACTGGAGTGATAATGGATGAAATATACCAGAATGCTTTCTACTGAGGGTGGCCTTACAATTGAGGGCTTTTTCCCAATATAACATACATGAAGTGTGATAAAAAAATATGGTGAATGTTTAAATTAAAAAAATATATTATTACAGTAACAGACACATTGCCATTAAACCCTCTCAAAATACTCCCCCTCGCTTTGAGCACACTTATCCCATCGTTCTTGCCACTTTCTGAAGCAGTTCTGGAAGTCCTCTTTCGTGTCTTTAGCTGCACTGTCGTGGCTGCCTTGATGTCCTGAATCATTTTGACTTTGGCGAAGAGCCAGAAGTCACACTAATCCAGTAAATAAGGTGGATGAGGACACACCATAATGTGTTTGACAGAAATTGCTGTACCAGAAGCGATGTGTGACACGGAGTGTTGTCATGATGGAGAATGAAGTAAAGACACTTAGGAAAGAGGACATCCAGAACTGCTTCAGAAAGTGGCAAGAACGATGGGATAAGTGTGGCTGAAGTGAGAGCGAGTATTTTGAGGGGGATTAATGGCACTGTGTCTTTTACTGTAATACATTTTTTGTTAATTTAAACACTCACTGTATCTTTGGATCACATCTCGTATATCTACAGTCTGGTCTTTTAAAATAATGAGGTGGGGAAAGTTATATTAGAACATCATTTATCTTCTAACTCCTGGCTTGATTTGTCTCAGGTTATATTAACTGAAGTCTAACCCATGGGGATTTTCATCCCCATGGAACTAGATGCTGGGTGTATTTATGTAATTAGCCTTAGACTGATGCCATTGAGCACTTTCTCCTCATTTATTAGGTCAGTGTTTTCCTGTACATCCACCTTAAGTTTAATGCTGTTGCTTTCTTAATGAAAAAAATACCCATTAATCCTCAAGTTGCAAGTTCTAACTTTTGATGCTTTAAAAATTAAAATGACTTGAGCAGTATCTATGTTTTCAATTATTCAGTTAACTCACTGTTTCATATCATCACAGTTAAAACACTCCTATGCCCATTTTTCAATGAGAATCCTTACTGCGGTTGCCTAAGACAGGTGCATCTGATTAAAAATTGCACGGAATGCTGAAATTTTTATAAGTGTTTATTTTCTTTCAAGTAAAAAGAAGAGCTAACAATTGCAAATCTTTTAAGAGATGTTGAATAAGTGACGTAACAGCTGAAAACACTTTCTGACACTCATCTGCTTTCGTGTCTGTATCTTTGCCTTAAATGTTAGTCTCTCACTGCAAGTCTCCCTCATTCCACTAAAGAACTTCAATTCAAATGCCAACATTTGTCTCTGTGCACACACTCATTATAGTTTATTCTAAGTGCATGCCTAATCCCGAGCAAGATTCGTTTCTCATTCATTTGGGCCTTGATAGCAAATCTGGGTTTGAAGAACGTGTGTTTAAAGAGTGATTGGCGTCTGCACAGGGTTTCCCACTGGACTGTGGGTTCTTGAAGAGATAAGACTGAGTTTTATTCTCTGTAGCCCCAGAGTTTCCTATGATATCTAGTAGTCAGTAAATTATGGTGGAATTGAATTCACTTTCAATGACCAGTTCTTCTATGCAGGCTTGTGCTGCCTCGAGAGAGCCAAAAGCAGAGAACAAAACACCTGTTACTATCGTATGCTCTTTCATCACTCATAGCTCGCTAAGATATCACTATCTTTCAAAGTAATGCCCCAAATCTGGATCATTTACTGGCACCTCAAGCATACTTTTCCCTCCGGATTTTACTGGGAAAGGGGAAGAAAACATATAAACTAATATATGAGAGTTCTTCCTTGAAAACACAAAAATCTCCCATAATCTTCCATAATGGAAATCGTTTTCAGGGTTGAAGATACTTGAAAGCAAGAAGGCTTCTGGTTTGGTACAACCTAGATGGAGATGCTGTTTACCCTTCAACAGGACTGGGCACGTTAGGAGCTCCATGAGGGGTCCTCTGAGGTGAGTAACAGGGGCCTTGTGAGCAGGGACAGTCCTTTCTTTGCTACTGAAAGAGACATCTGCTTTCTGAAGCTTTCTAGACTGAATCATGTTTAAAAGGCAAATGGTATCCAATGAAACACACCAGCTCATTGAAATAGAAATATTTTGACCCAAGCCTCCACCTAAAAATGGAAAACAAAGGCAAAAAGAAAAAAATAATAAAATCTTCTTCAACAATTGAACCAACTGGGTTCTATTAGCATTGAGTTTCATAATAGCTGCTAAATAACGCTGGTTGATTTAAGAGAAGTTAGAAAATGTTCACAGCCACGGCACTTCATTCCGAGGTCCTAGTACAAAGAGTTTGGGTTCTATGCTTGATCAAAAGTTTCTAGAACTAAAAACTAACAAGTATGCAGTTTACCATACTCAAGCCACAGAGGGTCCCTTCCGCCGCGGGCATAAACTTGGTCTCACACCTGTGGCCCACTCGGTGACACCAAAGAGATTTGCAAATGTCCTGAAAGGAAAGAAGGAGCTGGTGAGGGTGACAGTACAGTATAAATGGAAAATACCCAAAGCTTTTTGTACATGATATTCTGAGGTGGCCAAAACGAGGCATTATCCAGAAAGTAGAGGCAAATGAGTTTGGTAGTAGCAAGGTAACCAGTAATATGCTCTAGCCAATGTATAAGCAGGAAGTTCCTATGCTACCTGCATATGCATGCATGTTGAGTAATGACTGGGAGGTAACAACATGAGTTGGTGTAGAGACCATTTGACTTGAAACTAAGAGACCTGGTTGATCATAATAACAACACCACCACCACAATAACGATAACCACCACCACCACCAGGGAAGCAGACTAGGCCATGACTGGCATAACGCAAGTTTGATTCAAATCCTTTCCTGGAATTCCTGGTTGCAGGCCCTATGGCCATGTTATACCAGCCTTTGAAGCGCAGTTTCCTCCCCTGTGGCACGGTGATAGCATTAGCACTTGCCCCTATAGGGTTTTTCTTAAGGATACATGATATAAATGATCACTGTCATTACCTTTAACTTTATAGTAATTTTCAAGCATTCAGACAATTTAATTCTCACACTAGATGTGTAAAATAATTGAACTCCTATGCTGGACTGTAGTAAGCAGAATAATGCATCCCCCCCCACCCCCTCCCCGATGAGCATGTGTGAGGTTATACAGCAAAGGAGACTTAAAGTTGCTAATCGGTTGACCTTGAGATGGGGAGCCTACCTTAAATTTTCCAGAAAGGCCCAAGGTAATCACAAAGGTCCTTAAATGGAAGAGGAAGACAGAAGAAAAGTGGGGAGAGGACAGTGTGAGGAAGACTCAGGGGGATGTTGCTGGCTTGGAAGATGGAAGAAGGGGCCCTGAGTCAAGAAATGCAGGAAGCTTCTAGAAGCTAGAGAAGACAAGACAACGGCTTCTCTTCTAGAGCCTCCAGAAAAAACAAAAACAAAAAACACAACCCTGCCAACATCTTATATTAGCCCAGGGGGACTCATTTCAGATATCTACCTCCAGAACTGTATGAAAATAAATTTGTGTTGTTTTAAGTTATTAAGTTAGTGGAGATTTATTATCGCAGAAAATTAATATTGTTACTAACACCGTTTAGTGGTGGACACTAAACCCATTCCTCATACAAACTCATCTGGATGAGGGAACTGAGCGAGCTGCTGACACGTTCAAAGCTATGAAGTCACACAGCTGGTAAGTGGCAAAGGAAGGACTCGAAAAGGCCTGAATCCAGAGTCGGGTCCTTGATCTCTGCTCTGGATCTGGATTTGCCATTAACAGATGTTAGGAAGCTCTGTCTTCTCCAGGCCTCAGTTGCCTATCTACAAGGGGAGTGAACCAGATTCCTTCCAGCTCAAACAGCTGAAGTTGCTCTTCCGAGGCACGTCACCAATGGGATGTCAAAATCATGAAACATCAAAGTGATTCCATTTTGTTTTGCTACATGCTGTTTACTAAGCTAGAAGTATGAACATATACATTTTGGTGGAAAATATTAGCAAGGAGGGAGGAAACAAAATTATTTTTGTGGTCACTTGTAACCCTGAAAATTCAATGAACCAAGACACCCAATTCCCCCAAGCATTCCAGTTAATACAGATTTCACGGTTAGAAAATATGGCAAGAACCTGCTTCGAAATATTTCACAAAAAACGTTTTCTACAGGATTGAGAAGAGAAAACATGGGGCAACCAGAGATATGTGCAGGGAGTCTGCTCTTACATAAAATCCTGCCCCCCCCCCAAAAGGGTATGGCAGGGTATTCAGGACACTGCTTGGAAACACCACCATCACCACAAACAGCCCCAGACATGTGCCACACGTACCATTTCCAAATCTCCAAACAGCTCATAAGACACAAAATGTAAATGTTTCCCATGGAAATGGACCTGCCACTGACACCAACAAAGTGAATCAGGTTCCTCGTCACTGTGCTGCCATATTGTGTTACCCTGGGTCTGAGGGGGATAAGCTAACGTGAAGGGAGAGCAGTCTACATCAGAATGGAGGAATGGGATATAACCATTGAAACAAAGCCACGGTTGAAAGGCTTTCAGAATTAAATTGTTTCCCTTCTTACAGCCAGGGGAAAGCCATAACGCACACCCATAACCTATGTGGCAGCCGCCAAAATGACCCTGGGGCAGACCAATGCCAAGAGGCCCGATTCCACAGCCAATGCCAAGCCACAGGGCTAAGGAAAAGGGGGCAGCTGGAGGAGACCATGAAAATAAAGCAAGACGTAAAAACACAGGGGTTTCAGAGTAAAATAAGACAGGCGGTATGAACATGTTATTTCTTTTGTGGTGAAGTACAGAAGGCAAACGTAATTACAGCCAACTCCATGCTCGGACAACCATGAGAGCCCTCTGAGAAAGCTTCCTTTCTAAGTAAACAGAAATGAGAATTTGCACTTTTTTGCTTGCTCTTCCTTCTTTTTTTCTAGTATATTCCACTAACTGTTGCTTATCTGTAATTTCCTAGACTTAAGTCATAGCTTAAGGGGAAAAGAAATAACCACAGGGACTTTGGGGTATTGTATTGCTTTAAGGACAGAGTTACACTGCTGTATATTATTCTGTCCTGTCACTCCTTGGTCATGTCCTCCTGTTGTATTCCAAAGGACAGAAGTCCCTTCAGGGGAAACCTGACAAGCTAAAAATGTGAAGGGTCTTGGGGTGGCTGGTTAGCTCAGTTGGCTAGAGCACAGCGCTCATAACCTCAAGGTGGCCGGTTCGATCCCCACATGGGCCACTGAGATGTGCCCTCCACAATGAGATTGAAACGACTACTTGACTTGGACCTGATGGGTCCTGGAAAAATGTTATGGGTCTTCACAAATCAAATTTTATAAAGCATCTCACACTTAACACATCTAAAACAAAATTCTTGCCTGTCCCCTCAAATCTGTTCCATGTTCAGCCTTCCCCAGCTCACAGTATGGCACCTCAATCAATAAATCCTGGACTCACATTCGACTCCTCTCTTTCTCCCAGATTAAGTCATTGCTGCTTCCTTCAGGAGGGATGAGACGGGGACAGAGGCAAAATCCTCCACTTTATGGAAAGGGGAGTGCTAAAAAATGTTTTCTTTGATTATCATTGAAAATCCAATAAATAATTACTGAGTATCTGCTAATATGTCAGGTATATGCCAAGTTTGCAGGTACTCTCCATCTATTAGGGCAAGAGACATACATAGACAGTTAAAATAAAAGAATCACAAGTTTATGATGGTGACATACAGGGTGGAAATGGAGCCCAGAGAAAGGAATGCTTAAATCTCCTTGGGGATAAAAGAGATTACCATTTGAGCTGAATCTTGAACAACAATAAAAAATGATCAGATACTTGCCGCATAGATGGCTGTGCGGCATTCTAGGATGGGAAGCATATACCTTGTATGCAAAGTCTGATAGATATGAGAGCAGGAAATGTTTGAAAAACATACCAGGACAGCAATATAATTGGAACACAAGGTGATGAGCCTAAAGATATTCACTAGAATTCAAATACCTTCTCTGTAATCCCTATTCTGCCTCCAAACCTCTTGGTGTGTTTATAGAAGAGCATCGGCCGAGCTCCTGGTATGTGACAGTAACTGTGCTGGGTCCCGAGGCACAGAGTACAGTCTGGTCATTTCTGACATAGGAAAATAGTCAGCATGGAAGCATCGATCAGTCTCTTAGAAGTGCTTGGAGCATTCTGGCAAAAAGCATCCACTCACTCACCGAGTCAGCAAGCATTTCCTAAGTACATAATAATCAAATGTAAGTTCTCCCCAGTTACATCAGAGGTAACTCTCCTTCAGGTCTGTCCAAATAACGGGGAGCCATTAGTCAGGTAGCTCGTTTTCTTGAATACTTTGAAAGGGAACAGACATCAAGCTTGATATGCTGAAGCAACGAAAAAATTGAGGCTGGCAGAGGAGGAAAGACGAGTGATAAAAAAATAGCCAGCCCCCAGGTCCTTTCACAAGGAAGGCACTGTGAGAAGACAGCCAGGCATGGCAGTGGTGATGCTACTGAAGACGTAAGAAGGAGCGCGAGGAGAAAACCCTCAGTATTTACTGAGTGGTGAAACTACATTGAGGGATTAAGCCTCACAACTACCAGGGAAGACATGCTATTAATCCTCACTTTACAGATGTGCACATGAAAACTGAGAAAAAGTAAGTCATTTGCCCAGGGTTCTAGGAAGTGTTGGAATAAGGTTTGAAACCCAGGTTAACCTAATTCCAAAAGCCAGAGGTGTGTGTGTGCACGCGCGCGTGTGCACATGTCTGTGTGTGTGTGTGTGTGTGTGTGTGTGTTTAGAATTTAAGACTGTCTAATTCAGTAGCTCTCAGCCTTGACCATGTATCAGAATCAGCTAGAGCCCCTGTTCAAACACAGATTGCCGGCTCCTACCCGCCAAAGGGTCTTATCCTTTTCTACCAAGCTCCAGGTGATGGTGATATACTCCATCTGCTGGTTCAAGAGGACACTTTGAAAATTATTTCCTATTTTTTATTCCTTTTGTTGTTGTTGTTGCTTCTAACCACCATATAAAACTGCCTTTCTAGGAGGCATAGAGGGGAAAAAAAAAAGGCAGTAAGAGAAAAGGTTACAAAGGAATTACAATGATAAGACAATGAAGACCCTGAAAACAAACTTCATCCTTTTTTTATGTTGCTGGAGGTGGTCTAACCTGTTGAAACCAGCAGGGTGAATAGGAGATTTTGTTGTTTTGGAAACCCCTCCTTGTTAGGGCCTGGCAGGGAGCTATTTATGATACTCAGAAGTATAGACATGATTCACATCATAAGTAGGTCTAAGAGTAATAAATACCAAAAGCTAGGATGTGGGGAAAAAATACTCCACATTCAGAAATCACCAACCAGCCCTACAACCAGTCATCTTCAACCATCAACCTTAAGCACATCTCTCTACCCCTCCAGACATCCCTAACTCTGCCTTTCCTCATTTTATTCAGTCCTCTAGTCTGGAATTTCCATTTGCCTTTGCTCGGCTTCTCAGGGAAGTCCATCACACGGAGATGCTGTCTTTCAAAAGTACGGTGTGGTTCCAGAAAAAGATCTAATATTTAAGAATGGTTGTCTAAGCCCTGCACACTGTCTGACAGACAACAGGCACCCCACAAATGTTTGTTGAATGTATAATACTAAAGGAATGATAGTAATTTTAGAAACTTCCTTTATATTTCTAAAGAAAAACTCATTGCCAATTGTGCATTTACTGAATACTAAGCGCTGAATAAGTACTTGATTAGTGAATAAGCTAGCGAATCCTCTAAGAATGAAGTGAACAGGAGACGAAGGCAGCAAACTTTTCCAGCCAAGTGAATGGCTACTTACTTCTGCCAAATAAGTCACCTTAACAGACAATTTGAAACAGATATGTGTATTAATTTACACATATCACACACCAGTGTTTGCCAAAGTAAGGTCCATGTACCACAGAGGATACACCAAAAACAAAAACAAAACAAAACCCAACAACTATGAATGGTGTATGTGTAAACTTTCCTAATAGCTACACATTTAAATTGTATTAGAAAAATATGTAATCCTATATCAAACCTGTGATCTCATGGTTATTATTTCTTTGGACTAGGCTTATATCTTTTTTAAGTGAGTTGATTTATAAAACAGCAACAAGTGAATACAATACAGAGGTACAGCACAACTAATGAAGGTAATTATTATGCAGTTTAGGAAATACTGGTCTTCACTAATGGATAGAAGAAAGCTTAACATTAGTTTGAGTGATGCATTTGCGTAGGTTCCACCATTTAAAAGTTATGTGGCTTTGGGCAAATTAAATACATTCTCTGAGCTCCAGGTAAAAAGTAGCGAGAATTCTCACTTCAAAAGGTTTTGTTTTGTTTTGTTTTGTTTTGTGAAGACTGAGGAAACATAAAGAATCTAAGCAGAATGCCTTATGAGTATGTGGAGCTAAGGCTCAATTAGCAACTGCTGAAGGTGATAGTGGGTGGTGGGAAATGGTGCGAAGTGGTGATAGTGGTGGATGGTGTTGGTAATGATGGTGGTGCGTTGGTGGTGATGGTGGAGGTGATGCTGTTGGTAATGATGGTGGTGGTGATGGTCGAGGTGGTGTTGTTGCTATTGATAGTGGTGAGAATGGTGATGGTGGTGGGTGCTAGTTGGACAAAGAGGAAGGGGCAGAAGCAAAAAGAAGGAGTAAAAAGAGGAAGAGTAGAAATAGAGGAGGGAAAAGGAGCTATAAAACTTCATAATTTCTCTGTATTCAGATACCTAAGATTTCCATGTTTCTCTTTAGACAATAGGTAGGAATTAACCAAGTTAAAAATGACTCTACTTTTTAGTGAGTTGAGATTGTAGATGATGTAGTTCTTGACCAACTGGAACAATGTTTCTCACATTTCTACAGCCTCAACTTTTGCTTTTCCCCCATCTGTCTTTCTCACAATCGTGAATGAAAGATTGGACACAAATATGTGAAGATTACTCAAGATACTCCTTGAATTTTTATGAAAAAAAAAAGATGGCTGCCAACAATAGTTTTCATATAATATAAAAAGTGTATGTATATATTTTGAGGTGATGATTTTAAATGTATCACATTAAAAAGGAATATGAGCAACAACTTGTATGGTGCCAGATGAGTACTAGACTAATCGAAGGGATCACTGCATAAATTATATAAATGTCTAACCACTATGCTGTACACCTGAAACTAATATAAAATAATACTGAATGTCAACTGTAACTGAAAAAAAAAATTTAAAGGGACTATGAACACGACAATAACTGAAACAGAGATGAGCAGTAGGTAAAAGCGATTACACCCAAATTTACTACTTGTGATAAAAATCTTCATCTACAGCAGAGGAATTTTCTTACAAGGATGCAGTCACATGGTATTTAAACCAGGCATGGTCTATGAGGGTTAAGCCTGGATAATTCATTGATGGTAAAAGTGCCACTTAATTATCATGCCAAACAACTGACATTTTCGAGATAACCCAGGCTCTAACCCTTGGCCTTAGCAAACCAAATGTTTATACTTCTGTTACGTACACAGACACATTGCAGAATCTTAATGTAAGTTTCAAATCACAAGCAAACATACCTTCACAAAACCAAGGCTGCAGAGCTTGGCTTTGGCTCCAAATTGCCACTTGCACTGTGTGTCTGCATCATAAATCTGTCCCGGGAGTTTGTCTGGATATTTATACTGTCCTGTTTGCTTGGGCTCATCCACCAGACACCCAGCCTGAGGTGTGCTGTAATGACAATGCACCCCTAGTCATTACCATGCTTAGCTCTGATATTTCCCTTTAAAATAAAACGCCTCTGAGCACATTCATGCAAAGAAAACTATAATAGGGCTACACAAACAGGGATATGCTTAAAGTTAAAGTGTATATTTATTGCAAAGAGTGAGTCCTGTCCTGTCTAAGAAGATGGAATTTACACAGCCACCAAGGGTTCCACGTGGAACTGGAAGTTATAGCCATCCCAGTGACCTGGTGTGGCCTGCTAAGAGATGGGAAAGGTCAGCATATTTGAAAACTGTCCCCAACAGTCTTGTTCAACAGCATTCCACACTTTTTTATTGACTGCCTACTCTGTGGAGAGCATTAGGCTCAGCACTAAAGGTACAAGATAAACCAGAAACAGTACCTGTCTTCATGGAGTGGAAAGTCATGCTATATTTTTTTACAGATAATGGGGCAGTGGCCAAATATGTACTGTATGTCAAACAATCTTTACAAGAAAAAAAGTTAAGGTTTTTGAAAGAAATCAGGAGAAAGGACAGATGCGGGCACAGGGCACAACAATTTCCCTGAGGTGTGTTTAACTATGATGTGTTGAGACAAAAAAAAAAAGAAAGAAAGAAAATCAGTCTTGACGGCATGGATAGATTATTAAGCTACATGCATATAAAATTATATATATTTACATATAACAACTATAGCACTGTGCAATAGTCAAATGGTCAAATATATATCATATATTATGGCTAAATAAAATGAAAGAAAACGTCAAAGAGTTTCAACTTTGAGTTCACCATTTAATATAAAACAAGTAGTGCTATTTTTCTAATCCCCATTTTACTAATGCAATCTAAGAGTTTTGAATTACCAAAGAAGTTTTCTTTGGATATATTTTGGATATAGAGCCAGCTCATGACCATTTCAAAACATTTCAAACAAAAGAGCCAACCAACACAATGCTCCATTCATCAAAAACATGCCCACCACATAAGCATTGTTTAATACTCTTATGACCAAATTGATTAATCAGATTAAAACAATTAGTCACAGTAAAAAGACAATATATCTAGCAGTCTCTGGACATCATGGAGGAGAAATAGTTATAAGCACAGATCTTGGGGTCATAACAGACCTAAGTGTTGAGTTTTATGTCTGCAACTTACTAGCTGGATCTTAAGCGATACAACTATCCTCTTTACGCCTCAATTTCCTCAACTCTAGAATAAGGAAACAGGATCGCTGTGAGGATTGAATGAGTTATAATGTGGAGAGCATTTAGCACAATATTAGGCCTTCAATCTATTTTTTCAACAATGACTATAATGCCAGTGCCATCGTCATCATCACCATCACCACCACCACCATCACCATCAGAATTTGTCAGCCTTTCTGTTCATTGGGAAGTTGAAAGGTATTTCCACTGCATATCTGTTTTCACGCCTATTAAATATTGCTCGTTGGCACCACTCCAAACCTGGGAGCAGGCCTGGCGTTGGCCGGTCTTACCTAAGGAATTTTTTGAGATATTGCCGGCTGCAGGAAGACCAGGAAAATACCCCGTTGTTTCCGGTCAGCGTGGGGGACATGATATTGCCTTCAGCCTTCCTGCAGGGATTGCCTTCTCCATCGTGAATCATGCCGAAGCTGAAACACAACAATAACAATAACAACAAAGCCTTCTGTGAACAGCCCGTTTCCCCGATAATAACCAGAGGAAGAAAATGAGGCACAGAGAATCAAGGAACCCAAGCGCGAGACAGGGTCATCGAAATTGTAACAAAAGGGAAAGACAACAATGAACTACTACAGAAAATGTGGTGAACTTCAGGGAGTAAATTTTAAAGAATGCTGAGGGCTTTGTTATGGTTATGTCTTGGCCACTACAATCAAAGAATGGTACACCTGCTGCATATTTTAAGAACAAAAAAGTTTTGCTCAAGATTTCTAAGCTAAACTGAAGTGATGGAATAGTCCTATTCTTTTACTTCAAACAGCAACATTGTTTTCTTCCCACCAATTGTGGACCTGTAAGGAAGTTCAGTGTGAGGAGGACTTAGGTCCAGAGAGAAGCTGATTATAAGATGTTTAAGGACTGTTAACACAAAAAGCTAGTGACATATAAACTTCTAATGGTGATCCATTTATTAGCTGAAATTAAAAAACTCTGATTATAATTAAACTACTTTATAATCATAAACATCTTTAAAAATTAGTGCTTGAACCCATCTATTGAAGGCATATAAAGGACTGGTTTTGAATTCATTTTATAAGAAAACTTTGATTTGTCCCTTTTACCACAGAAGGTTCTAGCAATTACAGAGTAAAAATAATTTTAGTTGGTTTATTACCTAGAAATCATGTACATTACACCTAAATGATCCCCAAATCTCCTGGCTGGTAGGATAAATGTGACATTAATATATATAAATATATATATCTACATATGACACATACACCGTAAAGACAGGGTTTGCTTCAGGCCATATTAAAGTGGTAGGGAATGGGAGAATAAGCTTCTTTGGTCATCTCTAAAAAAATGGTACATAAAAAAACTGTGGTTTTTCAAGGGAGGCCAAAGATAGGGTGATACCAATTTTGTAATTAATTTAGACTGTCCTTTACCTAATGATTTAAATGATATTATTTTAAGGATAAATAATTGCCTCTGAAGAACATATTTTTATGAGACAGACATGATTCCTGTAGAAATGAATGTTATTCTGATATAATCTTATTAACATAGCTATCCTTTGAAGGTAGACTATACCAAGGAAACAATTATGTTATAACCAGAGATAGGATTCTGTTGTGGCCCATGTCTATAAGCTAGACATTTCCCCCACAGTCCTCTCAGTTTATCAGGCAAATAATGCCGGGATGGCTGCATCATGTGATCCTATCTGTGAATGTCCAGGTAATTCAGGGGTGACAGATCCACAAATACATATTTATTAGCCTCAACATATACTCAAGAAAAGCGTTTTCTCCTCCTTAGCTCTGCCCAATTCAGTTCTTTGTACTGAACCAGGAAACTAAGGGGGTTTGTTTGGGAGATACCCTTTTTACATATATTTGTGAAAGTCAAAAACAGAAGGAAGTTTATGTACCAAGTGCCAGAAGAAAGAGTGAGAGAATCTAGGATGGGGTGGGGAGAGATTGAAGCCATTACTCAAACAGGAAACAGCAATTAAATTAGCATTTGAGGTTTTCTTTTTTTTTCAATGTGTATTAAGTCATTCTGGAGTTTTATGGACATAAGAAAACCAGTTTGAAGTGAATATTAAAATTTTTTAATTTTCTAATTTCCTTTGATTTAACACCATTTTAGAATATACATTTTCTTTAGCACATGTCAAAAATCTCTTGAAATGTCTGTTTCAAAATTTACCTCTATAAGCCCATGTTATTTAGAACTTGAGTATGTATTTTACTTTATTATCTGTTCTTACCCCTAACTCTCACTATTCTCTCCTCACCCCATCTGGAGAATGTCTTTGTTTTTCCTTACTAAAATGTTGGATTTTGATTTTGGTAACTTTAACTCATAACCAAGGATGATTAAAATTTTTAATGGCCAGTATTTTGAAAAGTGAGAGGTCTGTTAATTTGGACTTCATGCTGGTGAAACAAATTTAGACATATGTTTGACATTCATAGATATTTTATACCCTACTCTGTACAAAGGGGCCTTGTGTCTAATGGGTATTTTTGTACCACCATTCACAGTAAAACTGGTTCATTCATATCTTGCTAAGAAAGTAGTGTCTCTGGGTGGTGAACAAACAATGTGATATATACATGATGTATTACAGAATTGTATACCTGAAACCTATGAAACTTTACTAACAATTGCCACCCCAACTTTAATTAAAAAAGAAAGAAAGAAAGAAAGTAGTTGTGTATATACATAAAACACTGGGAATCTGTTGGATAATAGCAATGGTCAAGATTCAAATTTCCTGAAGGTAACTAAGTTAGCTCATAAGAGACACTAACACAAAAACATCAAAATATAAGTTATAGTTGTGGAATAGATGATGTTGGCTTCTATTTTTAAGTCGGAAGTTAATTGGGTGCTCTGAAAATGAGCATTCAATATAAATGTCGAATACAAGACACACTCACAAACATCCCTAAACTCATACATTCAAAGAGCTTGCCCTTTGAAATAGTCATTTTGCAAAGCAATATGTTTACTCCGATGTAAATTCTATTGCTCAAATGTTTGAAAATTCTCTGTAGAATTGTATTCATACCAGATTGTATGCCCCATAAAATAAATTCATCTCATCACTCTTAGTTTTCTCATTCCTCATTTCTCACTATACTCTCACAAAAGACTTACTAACACCAATTAAATGAATATTAAGTGCACGCAATGACACCAACTAAAAGAATATCCAGTGAATACATAAAGTTTTTAAACAATTAATATACCATTACGCTCTGGGAATTACATGTCCCCGAGATTATTTTCTTAGTTATAATGAAATAAAAGCATTATCACTGCAGCAAAACATGGAAGAAAATAAATGCCCAAATGACCAGAGGGTCCATTAAATAACTTGTAGTCCATTTACGGACACAACGCAATATTGGGTGGTTATTAAATATTGTTTTAAAAAAGCAACGTCAACAATGACTGGCTTTTTTTTGAGCCCTTCTGATAGACACTATGCTAAGCTTTGCACATGGTTTATCCTATTTATTTTGCTTTGGTCAGTAACAATCATCAGAGGGATGCCAATGAATCACCCAACCAGTTTTCCTATAACGTGGTGAGTCAAGGGTTCACTTACTTGTGCCCTGACTCATGCGCGATGGTGAAGGCCAGGCCAAGCCCGGTGTCCTCATTGATGGTACAACTTCGGTACTTACTGCACATCCCACTGATGGGTGCAAACCCTATGGAAGGTCAGTGTCAAGGGTTAGTCCAAAGAGAACACACACAGATATCTGATCATTTTTTATGTCCTCAAAATGTTCTGCAGTTTTGGTTTAATGGATTCAGGTATGTAATTTTGGGGTAGGAAAACACTAAAGGCATATGATTCTCTCTCCTGTCCAAAGAGATAAATGCAGTACTTAATATTTTCTTTCCTTTTAAGATATTGTCATCAATTGATCCTCCTAACAATTCAGTGAAGTCAGTATGAACACTGCAATTCTCATTTTACCTATAGGATAGTAAGTTATATGCCTTATCTAAGTTTACTGTTTGGGTCAGAGCAACTGCTGAAATGATAGTTAAATCAATGCAAAAATGTTCACTTAACAGTAGGATTAGCATCAAAGCTCAAGGTATATTTTCTAAGAGAACACACATTCTGGTCTTTTTTCTAAATCATATTAAATGGACATGCCTAAACAATGTGAGTAGGTTAAATCCATTTTTTTCCTATTTACTATAATGTGACAAATATTCCTGTTCCCCAAAACTACTTCAAGAGCAGCTATAAAATCATTCCAGCCAGTCCTTGATTCGATCTTGAACTACATGATAACGCTAAATGTCTTTCTTTCTTCCCAGTTTGGGGTCCTTACAACCAGTAGAACAAGGCTATGTATCCCTTTGGTACTCAATATACACTTGTGAATTGATTGTACCCGCCTTGATGCCGTGATGTAAGGGAGACCACTTGGTGGACCTAATACATAGGCACATATCATTGATGGCACCACCACCACCATTATCATCAACACTTATCTAAACGACCATCAATTCATTTTTTAAAAAGTGTTGAATTCCTACCCTATGCAATGGAATACACTAGAAAATGTAGTACAGATGTAAAACGTTTAGTGCTTACTCACTGTCTTGCACAAATATAGAAGAGGTGAATCCTTCAAAGGTCAAGTAACTTTCCAAAGGAGGCACTGCTTCCAAGGGGCTCAGTTAAGTACCATAGAGACCAATCAAATTCTCTCAGCTCCCCAGTTTTGCAATCATGATGCTTATGGAATAAACCACAGCTTGTCTAGTGAAATAATTTATCTCATGTCTCAATGAGCATCAATAGAATTAATAAAGAAAACCACAAAAGGAATGAAGTAAATGGGCTTCCCATTCCACGCCGAGTTCAGATAAATAGAACAGTATTCACCAGAGTGTACGGTGAGGATGCTGCACAATTTAAATATTAGCTCTCCTTAGTAAGGATAATATGGGCCACTCACCCAGTAGAAAGTTTCCATACTGTGTTTTCAGCTAACAGGGGTGTGTGTGAAGCATCTGTTCATATCATACCTAGAGTGTCACATGGCTCATTCTTCCAGGAACAAATATCAAATCCCGTGAGTAAGATGGCGTGGTCATGCCTCTTGCCGTTCTTTCCCATGAGGGCAGACTGCCACTGACAAAAACTATTCAGAGACTGGTCTGCGTGATGGTTGATCAATAATCCTCCCTAAGGGAAACCCACACAAATCAGAGCGCGAATTTGTCAAGAGATGAGAACGTTGCATCATTCCATTTATACAGGCAAACACAGAAACATGTTTCTAGGGAGAAAGGTCAGTAGAGGAAAAAACTTGAGCTAAGGTTGAAGATAATTGGTAAAGAGAGAGAGAGAGAGAGAGAGAGAGAGAGAGAGAGAGAGAGAGAACTAACTAAAAATGATTTCAGATAAATGCTCACAATATTTAAAGTAACTACAGAGTTTCAGTAGTGTAGTTTATGACCAACTATATTTCTACAACAAATAACCTGACATCAGTTAGCAACATCTTTACTCATCTCATGCTGATACCACCTTCACAAAACTGTTATAATTTTTAGGACATGATTATAAATTTATGGTGATAAAGCTCAATGCCTCTTCAACAGAGCATGAGAAAGGTAGTGACTATCACTTATTTACCCCACTGTCAAAATTTTCAACAGAGGGCTTGGCATTCCATAGGTTACAATCAAGCAATAAAATGAAGCTCACTGGATGGATGAAGAAACAAACAGTTATAAGATTCTAAAGGGTAGAGTAGGCCCAACCCTTAAAATGATTATTTATCAAAATGTGTGCTTAAGACAATTTGAAGGCTTTTAGAGAAGATCTTCAATTATGAGTGAATTAGCATGCTTGAGCAAAGTATTAGTGGTGGGTTAAAGACAAAAGTGTGTCCCAAACAACTACCTTTCTAAAATTCCGAGAATAATTTGACAAGTTGTCAACCTCTGTTGCTGTACATACCTGGGCCGTTAGATTCACTTTTGTCTTGTTTCTAACTCCCAGCTTTGTACATTTATTATTGGCATTACAGGTAAAGAGGAAAAACCACAGGGGATTTTAAAAGTAGCCTGATTAGTAATCCCCACCTCAGAAAAATACAGTTTTAACACCAAAACGCTACAAAGCAGTGCGTGCCATGGAATTTAACACTTCATGTTCTCATTTTATGTCACCCAGGCTTTTGTCTTGTACCTCAGTGTAATCAATTCAGGGGCAGTTAAATATTCTGTGTTTATTATCTATAGTCCCTAGATGGGGAGACAGTAGGTTTACTACAATAATTTTCTGATCAACTTATTTCCTGTATATTTTCAAAATATCCTTTTGCATATACCTGCCATTACTCAGTATATCCAATTTGCAAAATTCAACTAACCCTTAAATCTATTACCAAATGTATTGTACTTTTCTTGTGAAGCCTACATAATATTTATATTTTTATACATGATGTAATAGTTGTATTTATATTATACATGCATATTTAATCATTTATATTTGTATATATGCATATAATATATATTGGGTTGTTGGAAAAATCAGACGCCATTTTTGCAATGAAAAACATAGAAGAAATATGTCATGACTTTTTCGACAACCCAATATGTTATATATATAACATATGTAATTATTTTGTGATGTTTATACAACCCTATTAGATAGTACTTTCCTTGAGAGTATGGTCAGCATATTTTCAAATTTGAATATCTAATGACCAGTACACAGATTAGCACATAGTAGGTGTTCAATAAGCACGTTCTGAATGGCAGAATGAATGAAGAAATAAATGAAGTTTGTCACTTACAGGCTCTTGTTCCAGAAGAATGAGGCTCACCACAACAATGTTTATGTCACTTCCAATGGTCCCATCTTTAAATAGGCTGGAAACCTGATGAACAATTGGAATCAAACAAAAATAAACAAAGTCTGAAAATTTCCAAAACTGTGTGTGTGTGTGTGTGTGTGTGTGTGTGTGTGTGATCGATGAGAAATATGTATAAATATACACGCTTTTGTTTCACCAAAGATATGTACAATGAAGCCAATGTCCTCAACACTCAATTTTTTCCGATAAAAATCACATGGCTACCTCTGCTATTCAACCCACACAAGGGAATGCGATGATATCTTGCTGTTTTGGAGAGCCAGACGGGTTGGAGTCCCGACAGCCTTCCTTACCATGTTCATGACTGTGAGAATGTACGTGGTGACGTTTGCCTTGCCATGCTTTTCCACCATTTTCTTGTCCGCCACCACAAGGGTTTCCACATTTAGCCCCTTGTGTGACTTCCCTGCTGATCTTCTGGGCCGCCCTGTGCTCCCATATTCATCAAACCTGAGATAGGTGTCCTCTGTGGGAGGCTTGGGGGCATCTACAATGAACAGAAGAACATTTGGCAGGGATATCAGTACGGAATATCTGGGTGAGATAGAAATCAAAACAAGGGGAGGGGAAGGACTATGTGTCCAACACTTCGCTAATTTACTGATAAGTGACGCCATCAGTGCCTGTCTGGGGCTTTGCACCTAGTTTGTGGTCAATAAAGAGTCATTCAGTTGAAGTCTGGATGGATGGGTGGATGGATGGATTCAATAACTCAAAAATGCTCTAACAAGTAAAAGAAAAGCTATAATTCTAGTTGGTAAAGCAGGCCAAGAAAAATCAATTTTGTGGGATTAGTCTTTAAAAACAAAAAAATGCTCATTTTATTTTATGGCTAAAAAACTGCAGAAATAGACATTCTTTGCATTTGAATTCATGGTAACACTTTACATATTATTTTCTAAATAAAACTTAGAAATGTATATCCTGAAGAACACTGTCCATGTCTCATACTCTTGTTTCAGCAACACAAACTTTGATGTAGCCCAAAATGAGTTGTCAATAAGGACTCTCTGGCCTCGTATTGACTTAGTTATTTGGGGCAACAGCATAGTCAGGGGTGATACTGCAAACTACGTTAAATATTGGGTCGTCAGAAAAGTCATGACACATTTTTGCAACAAAAAACATAGACAAATACATCATGACTTTTCCGACGACCCAATACTTTATAGCAGGTAAGGTGTGGGAACTGTCTTAGCAGAATGGATACTGGCCATAGCCTTTGAGCAGGGGCCTGGAAGTGTCTGTTGGGCTGGGCATGATCCCTTTAGTCAGTGGACAGTGACTGACAAGTCCAAGGGTGGCTGGGAAGGAAAAGGGCATTTGGAAAGCTCGGGACAGTAACTATGTAAACTACTGTAGAATTATTTTAGTACTTCAACAATTGGTACAGTTATAATAGTGATGTCTGCTCTCCAGAGAGTGAAATGAAAAGATCAAACTATTTGGAGGTAGATTGAAAACCTCAGGCTGGCTACTTTGATTAGTGACTGAGTTTAGTTTTGCTATCTCATTGCCATTATGAATACCATTACAATTACTAGTAATAATAAGTCGATGTCCCTACAGGAGGCTATTTCAATAACACCCCAAATGCAAAAACCAATTAAAATGGTAAAAACACTGTTTTTAATGATTGCACCCAATCAGCATCTCAGTGGTACCAGTTCCCCCTCTCCTTGGGCGGGACCATCACCTGGCTGCTTGGTCCAATCCATTTGCCACTTTTGGCTACTGAGCCTTTGAAATGTGGTTGGTGACACTGGAGGAACTAAATTTTAAATTTTATTTAATTTTAAAAAGCAATACTTGATTCAGTTATTGAAAAACTGAAGTATGTTTGGAACAATACATTGAATATGTAAATCTACTTTTTCAGCCTTGAATTTCATGAAATCTAATACATTTCGGGTGACAGTTTTTCATCTGAGTTGAAACCATGCTCTAAGTGTAAAATAAATAATAGATTTCCAGGGCCGGCCGAGTGGCGCGATGGTTAAGAACTCGCTTGGGATGCCAGAGGGCCCCGGTTCGGATCCCACATATGAGGGCCAGTGACACTGCCCTCCACAGCTAGGATGCTGAACAACAGCTCAACCTGGAGCTGGGCTGCCGTGAGTCGCCGGCGACGGTGTAGGCTGCACTCCCTGTGGCAGTGGGTTGCCATGGGCTACCGTATGTAGCCAGCAGCCAGCGTGAGCGGCCAGCAGCCGCAGTGAGCGGCCGTCCAGAAGCCGGCGACTGATCTGCCTCGCCAGAGAAGAGCGCAATGATGGTGCCAACTTGGCCCAGTGAAGCAACAACCTCCACAACTAGATTGAAGAACAAAGGACAGCAACTTGTCTGTTCCCCTTTCCCCAATTCCCCAACACTGTTCCCATCCCCCCAATTCCCCAATAAAAATCTTAAAAAAAAAATAAATAATAGATTTCCAAAAGTTAATGTAAAAAATAATTTGTTATACTGATGACGTGTTAAGATGATATTATATATATATTGGGTTAGAAGAAATATATTATTAAATATAATTAAAATTTACCTATGTTTAAATTTTTTAAAACGTGGCTATTAGAACATTTAAAATTACATTTGGGGCTGGCATATTTCTATTGGGCACTGCCGGTTTGGAAAAAGCAGAAAGTTGTGCCTGGGTCCACAGACCATGCCCAGGGGTCCTGCTATTTCACTGCTACCTCCACTCAGGTGCCAATGTTGTTTCCTGGGAAGTTTCTCCTTCAAGTCCTCAAAAGGAATACTCATCCACACCTGAGGACTCTGGTTTCTATCATTATTGGAACACTAAGTTCTTTTCTCACGAGCACAGAGGCAATATTGGAACGCGTGGCTAAAAAGTAGGAGATGCTAAAAGAACAAAAAAAGACTGAAAATCTTTTCTAGTTTAACCAAGAAAAAACTTATAATTGATCACCTAGTGTTTGTCTGACAGGGATGATGTCTGGTCCATCTCCAAGACTAATTTCTGGGGATGCCCCATCTTAATCTGCAAAGTCAGCACACCCAATGGCACTCCAGACAACCTATCAAGGGCCCCATAAGAACAGAACAAGAAAAAGTTTCCTTACATACATTTCTTGCGTCGTCCACAAAAATGCTGCTTTTGCAACCTTCGATGGTGATGCTCTCTTTCTTGGCTCTGAGACATGTGGGGAGTGTGACTTGGGATGTGACCAGGAGAATTCCAGCGGGATCCTGGGTAACCATGGTAACGCTGAAGCATCTCCTCGGCTGTCCTTTTGTACAGTACATGAGCATGGTGGCCTGTAGGTGAGCTGTAGTTGTGTTCCTGGGCCAGCAGCTGAGGTAATGGCGAGATGAGGAATTCATTTCTCTGTGTCCTTATTAGACCTGACTAAAAAGCCAAGCACAAAGAAAACAAGAATGATTCCATGTATCCCTTTTTTAGGTGTAGAGTTTCAGCAACTTTTGATTGGCTACTCCCTGTGTGCAGGTGCCATGTTAAATGCTTGACACGTATCATCTCAGTTGATCTGCACCATGACCAGCTGCAATTGTCATCACCCCCATTTTACAGATGAGAAAACTGAGGGTAAGACAGTCAGTGGGAAAGCTAGGATTGGCACTATCAGAGAGAAAAAATAAATTTCCCTCTATCCTCCTAAGTTCTTGGCTGAGACCCCTTTGTTAAAAAAAACCAAAAAAAAGACAGATTAACAGGAGAAAAACACACAGACATTTAATAACATGTATACCTCCTGTCTACATGGGAGATACCCAGGAAAACTTGCCAAAATGGCCCCAGCCACCACCTGAAATCTGTTTTTTATTACCAGAGGTATCTCAGCCAAGAACCTAGAAGGTGTGAAAAGTTGGCCTAATAGAGCCAGAGCTGCCATTCCAGAGGAGCTGCATGTCTTACTCCTTGAACCTTTGAAAAGTTTAAACTGGGCAAAATAACCTTTGGACCAGGCCAGAGCAACACTGTCTTACGAACAACTGTTTGTAAAACTAACAGGAAAACAGACCGCCCAACCACAACGACTGTTGATGGTGGACACTCTTTCTGAAGATAGAATCAGTAATCAGCCATGTACAGCTAAAGAATAACTTAACTTGTTAGCACGGTCAGAAATGTCTTTCCTCTATTCGTGCAATCATTTCCCTTCCTTTCTCATAAAAACCCCTTGTCTTCACCCTGTAATCAGGACACGGCTTGGGTTTCTGCCTGAATCTGCCCTGAGATTGCAATTTTGTGCTCTTAAATAAACGCCTGTTGCCTCTCTCTGCGGCTTTTTATTTTTAGGTTAACAAAGGATAAAGATACAATGACTTTTCCTCCCCTGCCCTCTCTTAGTGGAGTTTGCACACACTTCTTCCTCCCGCAATCTTCTCCCATCGATTTGCTTGGCTTTCTGGTGCTCATTGCTTGTGCCTCGTCTTAAACACCATCTCCTTAGAGAAGCTGTACTCATAACCCTGTTTAACACTACCCACCCCCACTTCCAAATGATCTCAGGCCACAGATGATTTGCTGTAGCCTGTCTTCAAAGAAAGACACCAACAAAATGCAACCTTCTGCCCGCCACCTCGGAGGTACAATTTCAATGCGCACTCTGTGATGGCAAGAGCCACACTGTCATCCCAGGTGTATGTCACACGTTATCAGCCAATCAAACATCTGTTGTATACGTGAATTGAAGGAGCTCAGAGTGGAGGGAATGCTGAGGGCTTGCCGGCATCCTTCCTCCCCCCTTACAGCAGGGGGAACCAGAGCGGCGAAGTGACATGTTCAAATTCACAAAACCATGAACCCTTTCCACATGACAGGAGCACAGCCAGAGTGCTCCACGCAATACCTGATTTAAACCTGACAGCTACCCTGTGAGGAAATCTCAGCTGGAAGCACCGGGAGAACTCAGGTCCCCCATTCCCTCAGCGGGGCCCTCACCTCTTCAAGCTGCGTGAAGACAAAAGACACCATTTACAGTCTCCAACAGACAGAGTGAACAGTTAAGAGAAAAATAAAAATAGTGCATTATCCACGAAAGCCCTCCAGCCTTACTAACTTCCTTACTTGGTTAAACTAATATCAAAGGCTTAAACCACGTAAGGGTCGTAACTGGGCTAACCGGTTTGGAAGCTTTCTTTTTTTTCCTCTCCCTGTTTCATGAGAACAGTAGACAACTCAATGCAGAGTGAACACTTCTGTATCGAGAAAGCAGTCATCATCGTCATCATCATCATCATCCTATCATGGGACAAACACACTGGGCCCACACAGCCCTCTATTTTTCAGCTCACAGTGACAAGGACAAACATTGAGAATAATTCTTTATAACAAAACAAGGATTTTTACAGTGCTGGAGGTTATGGGAGAAAAATATTCTTTGGGGGTTTCGTTTGGTGGAAAACATTAGGGGCTAACCCAATAAATACATTTTATGGTTTAAAAATATAAACCCAGTACATCCAAAAGAAGTCATCTGTTTATTTGTAGGAGCATTTTGAGTTACGGAACACACTCAACCTTCTGGCTACACAGTGGTGAGCAAGGTGGACCCGAGCTCTCATGTGGCTTCTCATTAAACGGGGGGAGCAGGGAGTACACAAGATCACAAACGGGTCTGAACTATTCCTGCGAGTAAAGCATGAAGAAGAAAAGCAGGGTTCTAGGAGAGAAAATAATGGAAAGGATGAGGAGAATGGGGCCACTAGTTTTAGAATGGGAGGCGATGTGATGATTTTCTGAGGAACGGGCATTTTCACGGACATCAGAAGCCCTTTCCTGGGTCATGTGGGGGAAGCGTAGATGGACCTGAAAGATGGGCGACCCGGAACTAAGGAGGGACGAAGCCAGGGAGGGAGAGTAGGGAATCAGAGACCCAGGGGCCTGCTAAGAAGGGGATGGAGACAAGGGCACCCTGAGGCTTCCCTGAGGCTGGAGAAGGAAAGGCCCCAAGTCCATGAAGACGTGGGCGCCACAAGCTGAGCGCGGTCCTCAACTCCCCACCCAAGGGGCCACCTTTTCCTCAGAAGACCTGGGGAGCCAGACTTGGTAGCTCCCCATTCTGGACTGAAGTATCGGCTCACAATATTGCTCCCACAATAAGTGTTCCATCTTCTGCAATTTTAAAGACCTAAAAGTCTTGAGTCATCTAACTTAGCTGCTAAGTTTAAAAATTTAATGTATACTGACCAGGAGTCAATGTTTTATTCAGCTCATATTTTACCATTTTATACTTTTAAAAAGGAGACACTATGTTTTATTTGTTAGCAGTTTTTAGGTTTCAATGGCCAAAATAATTCTCAAAGGAGTCACATCAGATCTAAATCACACTTGAAGAAATTCCCTTCAATTTCCTTTTTAAATAGCCCTCCCTATAGGTCATAATTAAATGCAATCAACGGCTTTAGATTTAACAGAAAAAAAGGGAGATGGCAGATTCCAGAAATAGTTGATGAATTAAGTGGTGGTGTGAAAGCACAATGCTTTTTAAAAAGTTCAGACTGAATAGCCTTGAAGGTAAATGGAAACTAGGCAGCCTGTATGCTCCCTGAAGGCAGCGTCCATGTCTTAAGTGACTCGTATCCCGGCACTTAGACCTGTTAAATTATCAAAAACTAAAAGGCTTCATGGATTAATGATGTTTGCTAAAAGTGAACCAGAGCTTCAAGGGAGATAATACATCTTAAAGAAATACCTTGAAATAATAATAAAGAACCCCATGTGCAGTATCTGTTATTCCATTTCTATTTTTAGTCAAGACTAAGGGACAGAGCAACAAAGTAGCTCCCATGAGGCTGGCTGGAGAAATGCTGGCAAAGGCATATATCTGTGGTTATCAGTAATCAAATAATTTAAAATATTATAATTGAATAAGGCCATTGTTTTGCACGTTTTAATTTTTAACCTATCTCCAAAAACAGCACCAAGAAAAAAAAATATTGTGACGTCAGTCAAGATATCACATTCTTTTTTTTTTAAATGATTATTTTATCCAAACAATAGCACTAAAAAATAATTGCTATTTATCAGGCACAGTGCTAAACTGTGAATTGCTCCATAAATATGAACATAAAAAATAGAGCCACAGTGACTGTTCTAAAGGAAATTAGAGACTTGAGAATATATAAAAAATGGTTTACCATGTCCCAGGTAAGAACAAGCAGAACCATCTAGGCCAATGATCAGGCTGAGGAGACAAAATCTGATTTTATTATTCCAAGAGCATACCGACACTGATAACATCCTCAGTTCTCTATAAAGCACACAATTCTAAGAAATTGAAGTTGAACTTTTTGCCATCTGTATCTACATATGTCAAAATGGTTTAATAGATAACTTGGACAGGTTCTCACCTATGGACATAGATTTTGAGAAAAGAACATGTGTTCAGGATTCCCTATTACTGTTAAAGGGGGAAAAAATCTCTTTGGGAGAAAAAAACCCCCCAAAATATCTATGTCAACAAAAATCTGACATTTCCCATCTATTCATTGAAATCGGTATTACCATCAATGGGACTCACAATAGAAATATGATTTAGAAGGAGATTTATGTTTTCCAGATTCATATACACAGTAACCTTCTTTCAAAAACCTGAAAAGCCCAGTCAATCCAAATTTAATCAGCTACTGTCAGTATCCCCAAATTGCTCACAGTCTGGTGAGGTGGGGACATGAAGCTAGTACAGCCATGAAGTATTTTCTATTCCAGCGGTTCTCAACCTTCCTAATGCCGTGACCCCTTAATACAGTTCCTCAAGGCGTGGTGACCCCCAACCATAAAATTATTTTTGTTGCTACTCTATAACTGTAATTTTGCTACTGTTATGAATCGTAATGTAAATATCTTTGTTTTCCGATGGTCTTAGGCAACACCTATGAAAGGGTCGTTGGACCCCCAAAGGTGTCGTGACCCACAGGTTGAGAACGCTGTTCTGTAGTGGGAAAGGGGCCCTTTCATCCTTTCCCTTATCTCCTGGGGAAGTTCACAAACCTCCCAGATACTAGAGTCCCTGATTTGTAAACTAGGAATAATAATAGCACTTCCCTTAGAGCATTTTTAGAGGATTAAATTAGTTAATACTTTTAAAGTGCTAAGAACAGTACTTGGCACAGAGAAAACACTCAATGCATGTTTACTGTAGTCGTTATTATATTTGGTGATTTGAGAGAACAAATCAGAGAAGTCGTGCCTTTTTCTAAGTGTGTTTGTATTGTGATTTTCCCCTCTGAAAAGACCTAAAATTCTGGAAAGTGGCATAAATATTCTGTTTATTGAGAAAAACAATGAAAGGACTAAAATATGGCCTTAAGACCTTAAAAGAGACATCTTCATGAAATTCTTACAAACATAACTGAAGATATTAAAAGACAGAGGAGAAATCA